AAAATAACATTGTCCAATAATTGTCTGTCTTGTATAAAAGCAGATTGGCAGGAGCTAATACAAGTGGAGAGACATGATTTTAATCTGGTGGCCAACAGTTTAGAAAGCACTTTGTAGACAACACAGCATAAAGAGATAGGCCTGTACTGATTGAGAGAGGCAGGAGTTTGGCATTTTGGAATAAGAGATACAAGGGTATGATTCCAATATTTCAGCATTGCCCCAGAGTTAAAGAAACTTTGAACAACATCAATTAAATCTCTAAAAATAAGGTCCCAAAAGTGTTGATAGAAATAAGCAGTCATACCATCTTCTCCTGGAGACTTATCTGGATGAAGGCTGAAAAGAGCACTTTTGATGTCCTCCTCTTCAACAGGGAGAAGAAGCTGTTGGTTCATATCAGCAGAGATTGACTGAGGAATAAGCTGCAGAATAGACTCCCCCCCAATGGATCCTTCAGAAGAAAATAGAGAAGAGAAATGGCTGGAAATGTGATTTTCAATTTCTTCTTGGGAGCTGCAGTGTCTGTTGGTATCAGTAGTGAGCCTGGTAATTGCATTGAGTCTCCTTCTTTGCATAACATAAGCATGGTAGAATTTTGAATTGGCATCACCTTCCTTAAGCCAATGGGCCCTAGATCTTTGGGCCCAGTATTGTTCTTCAAAAGCATAGGCATCATCCATATCCTTTTTGACAGAATCCCATTCTTCCCAGTTTTCCTCCCTTCCAATAGTTCGAAGATGGTCAAGCTTTGAAGACAGGTTGGCTATTCTCTCCTGATTTTGGGTTTTGAATTTGGAGCTCCAAGTGAGGAGAGCTAGTCTGGTTTGTTTCACTTTCTCTTTCAGTCTGAAAAAAGGGGTGCCAGATTGAGGAGTATTCTAAGCTCTGTGCACCACTTCAACAATTCCTTCTTTTGAAGTCCACCTTCTATCAAAGCAGAATCTTCTCTTTTGCTTAACACATTTGATCCCAAGTCTAGAATGAGGAGAGAATGGTCAGAAGCAGATCTCACAATATTAATGATTTTGGCATGAGGGAAAGAGGAGAGCCAACTGAAGGATGAAAAACCCCTGTCAAGTTTCTCTTCAACAAAACCATCTGTGGACCTGTTGTTTCTCCATATTAGATATGAATCTGTTGAAGCCATCAAAACTACAGTTATTCCTAATTCTGCCACCTTTCTTCTCCTCTGCAGAGCAAATGGCATTCCAATCGCCAATGATAAACCACTTCTCCCCCCAAGAAAGTTTATCTTCCTCAAGTTCCAACCACTGAGATTCTCTGATGTTGGTATCCACACTTAGATAAACAAAAATCCCCCAACCTTGGTCCACATTACTCAAACTGAAATTAACAGCAATATAGAAATCCTTAGCAATGATTTGAATGATCTCCACATCTTGATGCCACAGTAAGAGAAGACCTCCACTAAGTCCTCTTGGATCCACAATAAAATGTCTGTCACCAAAACCCAACTTACTACTAATAGATTTAACAAAAGCTCCATTATTTTCAGTTTCTGAAAGAAAAAAAAACTTTGGGTGGTGAGTCCTAAAAGACTCTTTGATTTGGGAAACTGTAGAGGGCCCACCCAGCCCTCTACAATTCCACACCGCAGCTAACATTGGGGATTTGGGTGCCACTTTAGGCTGGCATCCCCCACCTTTTCCTTTGGAACCTTGTTCATTGACCCTGTTGATTTCTTAGCTTGCTGGGAATCCTCCTGGAACTCCTCATTGGTTAGGAAGTCTCTGATTCTTTTAGAACCAGCCACAGCTGGTTGATTTTGTGTTGGTTCAATAGTTCTTTGAAGTCTCCCAGTTTTGGCAGAAGTTCTTTTCCAAGTGCTTCCTCTGACCACCATCATCTGGTTCTCTTCC